GGCCCAGCTGTCACCTGGAGTTCATTCTGCAAAACCGCCCAATACAGTACGTAGGACGCGTGGTGCGCAGGGCTTCGGGTGCGCTTCGAGCCGATCGCGGCATCTATTTAGGTGCGTCAGAGACTGCGTACTTGGCAGCAGCTCGGATCGGTTCAAGACTATACGAGCGGTTTTCTCGCATTATGCGAACAAGTCGGCTAGCGGAGCGGGTGGACCGTTACGTCGGAGGACTGAAGCCAGACATTTTGCACAAAATCATGCTACGCGGACTCTCGAATTTCAACGAGATTCTCGCGCTCGCCGAGAAAATCCACATTTTACGTCGTCTAAGACCGGGGTCCTACTACGGACATCGCTCTCGGGGACCGATCGAGCACGCCACTGTACACGCCGTTGCGACGAATGCAGCTGCCGCGCCGTTTAAGGGGCGCTGCTTTGTTTGCAATAGGCCGGGCCATCGCAAGAGTGAGTGCCCAGAGGAGCTAAGGCGCCACGGAGCAGAGGAGGGGAGGGAGTCTCCAAGGCAGGGAAACGCCAGCACTCAGTAGGAATCAGGCCAACTACTGACGAGACTGCCTACTCGCCCAACCCCACCGACCCTCACCGAGTCACAGTACAGATTCACGCCATCGATCAGGCTCGGACGGATAAGGAGGGTTAAGAGACGGATTGCCGTAGTGAAGAGTACAGGGAGCGGTAGTGAAGATTTTTATCGACGGAGGAGCAAGTTACAGTTTAGTTAATACTGCGACCGCACGGGAACTGCAACTGACACTTAGCCGATGTTACCTTAGATAGATGCACGCGTAGTTGACGGCACGCCGCTCTCCATACGGGAGAAGGTGGAAATAGTAAGAGTCCGCTGCGGGGGGGACTTCGGGTTTACACAGGAAATGCTCGCAACGATACTGGATGGGCACGACGTTTTACTGGGATGTGATTGGCTGCGACGGTATAACCCGCGAATTGACTGGACGACGGGCAGCTGCATTGTGTGAAGTAGCAGTAACTGGGTTGAACTACCTCGCTGGCAGTCGCCTGAGTCTTCAACAGTCCACGTCAACGCCATCACAATGAAACGGGCTGTCGCGGCTGGAGCTGACGTGTACGTAGTGGACATCGCAGTGGTAGAGGAAGCAGAGCAACCGAGCGATTTCAAGAAACTACTGGCAGCGGTACCACCCGAACTACAGGAACTGTTGAAACGGTACCCGGGGATTTTTCCCGACGACTTACCGGAGAGACTGCCACCTCAGCGAGCACACGACCAACGAATAGAGTTAGAACCGGGGGCACAACCAACCGTACAGCGACAGTTCAGACTGACACAACCCGAGCTCGACAAACTAAGGAAGCAATTAGATTACCTATTAGAGAAGAAATTCATCAGACCGAGTTCGTCACCGTTCGCCGCACCAATATTGTTCACACCAAAAAAAGACGAAGGGTTTCGCATGTGCATCATTTGCATAGCACTGAACAGGGTAACACTCAATTCGCAATTCCCCATTCCGAGCGCCGACGAACTGATAGACCAACTGCGAACAGCACGAATCTTTTCGAAAATCGATTTACGGGGAGGTTACCACCAGATTCGAGTCGAAGCATCGGACTGCGCCAAGATGGCTTTTAGGACTAGGTACGGGTCATTCGAGTACACTATGATGCCATTCAGGCTGACCAACGCACCAGTGACATTTCAGATGACCATGAACGAAGCGTTTAGGCCACTTTTAGATAAATGGGTGATAGTTTACCCCGACGACATCCTCGTCTATAGTCGCGATAAGCAGCAGCACCTAGCGGATCTGGACACGGAGAAGCTGGACATGGTCAAAGCGTGGCACCCCCCGACGAATATCGCGGAATTGCAGAGTTTTTTGGGGTTCCTAAATTACGTGCGTTGGTTCGTCCCCGACATGGCACGGTTAACGGCGCCACTAACAGACTTACTGAGAAAAGGGGTCGACTTTACGTGGGGGGAGAAAGAGCATGCTGCCTTCTCTGCCCTAAAAAATGCTCTCTGTTCACCGCCCGTACTGCGCATCGCCGACATACAATGCCCATTCGAAGTGGTTACAGACGCAAGCAACATCGCCATCGGAGCCATAGTGCTACAAGATTTCGGCAACAGCCTACAGCCCATCGCATACAAGTAACGAAAACTGCATCCGCCCGAGAAAAATCACCCGATATACGACCGCGAAATGCTCGCGATCGTGCACGCATTCAAAGTGTGGAGCTGCTACTTGACCGGCGCAGACGTGACAGTACGGACAGGCCACAAATTGCTACATTACCTCTGCGCACAGCCCCACCTCAACCCACGACAGATTCGCTGGCTCGATTTTCTCGAGTCAAATTTCCACTACATAGTCACCTACAAAATGGGGGCATCAAACATCGCTGACGCACTGACCCGCCCCACTCCCAGATCCATGCGATACTACTTGCCCAGACCAGCCCACTATTGACAGGACTATTTACCCACGGGTACCGAACGGATCCATTCTTCACAGGAGGAAATTCGCAGCAGTTCGCAGCAGCAAAAGGACTTTATTACGTAAAATCTGGCACCGACCGCATCTGGGTACCGGGGTATTCACTACTATGGGAATTACTATTACAGCAGGCACATGATGGAGTTACCTCAGGCCATTTCGGAGTATAAAATTAACGGCAGCAGCTGCAGCGGTATTACTACTGGCCCGAAATGCTGACCGACGTATAGCGACACATGGCATCGTCTCCCACCTGCCAGCTCATGAAATCATGACCGAAGCGGCCGGAAGGACGCTTGCAGCTGATACCACCCCCAGAGCATGCTTGGCAGCAGGTGACGACGGACTTCGTCACGGGGTTACTGGCCGGAGCAAGTGGGAACGACGCAATCCTGGTCGTCGTCGATCGGTTGACGAAAATGGCACATTTCGCAGCTTGCAAGAAATCGATCACAACCGAAGAAACAACCCGCCTCTGCATCTCCACCGTCGTTCGATTGCATGGGATACTAGCAGCAATTATCAGCGACCGCGACACGAAGTTCACCAGCAAATTCTAGCGGAACCTATAGGAGCAGTGTGGCACTCGACTACAATTTAGTTCTTTGTACCACCCCGAGACTGACGGACAGACAGAACGGACAAACTAGACCATAGAGCAACTCATTCGAGCCACGTGCGACGACCCGACCACATGGAAACAGCAGCTGCCACTCATCGAATTCGCGTACAACAACTCGCCATCCACCACCACCCAACAGTCACCGTTTTATCTAAACTACGGACAAGACCCCACAGTATACATGACCCCAAATCCCGACAACCCGGTGCCACGCGCGCAACAGTTCGCCGAAATTTTACAAGCTGTACGAACCAGAGCAGCAGACGCAATTAAAAAAACAAACTTCATCGCTAAACGCAACGCCGACCGCCACCGCCGACCTGTCACTTACCGGCCCGATAGCCTAGTTTTACTCGACACCCATTACCCATTACCCCAAAACTCCGCCCCCGATATTGCGGGCATATTCGCATCAGCCACATCATCATACCCGTCACCGCCCACCTCCTCCTCCCCGCTGACTGGTACATCATCCCGTCATTCCACGTCAGCCTGCTTCACCCTTACGTACCATCCACCAGCCAACTGCCCCGCAACCGCCCAGCCAGCATGACACGACCGCCGACGGAACCAATCATCACGCCCGAGAAGTTTCTGAGCCACCGAGTGCGTGACCCACGGGGAGCTCGTCGGATCGAATATCTGATCCGCTGGAAAGACCGAACGCCCACCGAGGACAACTGGGTTCCGCTGGACAGAATCGATAACCACCCCGTCCTCACGGAGTATCTGCGGAGCCAAAATTTCCGGGATGTACACGCGCTTTCATAAGGAAGGCCTCCTTAGGGGGGGGGGGGGGGGGGGGGGGTAGTGTAAGGAAAATTCCTTTTCCTTACTTCGCGTCCCTGCTCAGCGCCTACACCACTGTTCCCGCCAACAGCACCCAACAGTGAGCCGTTATCACTCGCGACATTCTCATCGACACTGTTCCCGCCAGTGTTCACGACGCGACCCAACCTCACGGTTCGGTTGGTAACCTTGCGCTCCGGACCTCCGCCTCATCATTTCCCGACCTCGACGCCAGGCCCGTCGTGCACCCCATTTTCATGCATTAACGTTACCACTATAGTTTCGCTACATATTCTTCGCTCATGCCTTCGCTCATTGTAATCTTGCTTAGAGAGTGCAATTCTCGTTCGTTCACTCAATTGCACTCTTAACAACAGAACACACCTTCCCAACGGGCCAGGCCCGGTCAATTTGAAATGCGATCCAATTTTCGCAGTGCGTGTTTGCAAATGCAATCTTTTTGGGCAGAACCATGCGGCTGCCCGTGTTTAGGGTTGGGGCTCCCCGTGTTTAGGGTTGGGGCTCCCCTTACCGCATGCCATCCAGATGGGGTTTATTTTTTTCTGACCGCGGGCAGATAACGACCCCTCAGCTTCTTCCACTGGGGATCGCATTTGCAAACCGCGCTGGCCTAATTGGATTTGCATCAGATATTTGCCAGGGCTCGTTTTGGGACAGCTCAGCGTCGAAGTTCTGGGTTCGGACCAATCGACAGCGCTGTGGTGTCGACGAGTCAACGCCTTGCTCCTCCAGCACATGGGCCAAAACAGAAAGTGCGGGTAATCCGTAGATATTTGCTCGAAATTTGGACAGGCACCGTTCTGCAACGTGCTATAACTTACTGAACCAGAGAAAAGTTGAAATGAAGTACAACGCAGAACCTTTGCGTTGTCCCCGACCCAATCCCGACTTCCCCTCCCACCCAAGTTCCCAAATCCCAACGCAAAACGCCATTACAACTTCAATCGGTGATCATTCGTTCCAGGCAGCCTGTTTCCAACGTTTGCTTTGCATCTACTCCCCATTTGAAATAACCTTTCCGCTTATTTCTCCCGTGTTCGTGCGCCTCGTGATTCTCTCTGAGAGCTATGGAGCCGCGGTCCCGTCTACCTCTCGCAGTCCTCACACTACTCGCCCTCCTCTCTCTCCTCGCCTCTTCAGTCGCTGCCGCCGACGTCTCAGCGGCCGATGCGCAAGCTGGCACGCTGGCCGCACAGGCAAGCCGTTTTCCCGCATTTTCCTTGTAGCGGTCGCGATCTCATTGCCGTCGCGTTTCCTTTCGTGTAGCACAGTGCGAAACCAGGCCTAGCTCTTTCACAGTTTCCTTGCCATTCATGTTTTCAATCTAGACGACGTTTTTTCTCCATCCTCGTTACGAGCTGCATCGATATTCGCGTCCGTGTGTCTTCCATGGCGTCTTCTGAGGTGCCTCAGAAGTCCTCTATAACGTCCATTGCATCTGCCAGCAGCGGCGTAGCGTGAGTGGATCTCAGCCACGTGGATGACTTTTGAGACGTGCGACTCTCGTAACGGGTATATTCCTCCCCCCTTTCCTCTTTAACCCCACCACCCCCACCCCCCTCTTCTCCCCCTTCCTCCCCCTTCCTCCTCTCCCCCCCCCCCCCCCCCCCCCCCCCCCTTCCCCTTTCCCCCCCCTCCCCCGCCCCGTCCCGCCCGGAGGCCGCGACAGCTACTGCTAGTAGCAGCGCCGTGGCGGGCGTGGATCTGAGCCGCGTGGTTCAACTTTTAAACGTGTGTGCTTGTAACGGGTATGTGTCATCCCTATCCCCGCCTGCAGACTGCCTCCGCCACTGCGACCAATAGTAGCGTGGCGGGCGTGGATCTGAGCCGCGTGGTGCTCCTGTCGCCGTGGGCGCCGCGCGCGTTCCTCTACAAGCAATTTCTCAGCGACGCGGAGTGCGACCACATCATCGCACGCGCGACACCACGCCTCGAACGGTGCGTGGGGGCAGAGTGGGGGGTATGCGGTGGGGTCGCGTGGTGAATGGAGGGCGGAAGATGTGGTGGGGTCGCGTGGTGGGGAGTTCGCGGATGGGGAGAGTGAGGAATGCTGGAAGGGAAAGGTAAGGAATGGACGCGAAGATTAGTGGTTGAAAACTTCCTTTGACCGGATATCATCAAGATCCAATAACAGACACAGACACACACAGACACAGACACAGACACAGACACAGATACACACACACACACACACACACACACACACACACACACACACACACACACACACACACACACACACACACACACACGGGTAAAACTAAACAAACAAGCAAAAACCAAACAAAACAGACCTACAGGGTCCGTTCGTCCTCCCCTCCACCACTCCCTTGTCCGCTCCGGCATGGTGAACAGCGACGACGGCAGCTTTGTGAGCGAGATAGCACGCGAGTCACACGGGTTCCTCCCTCTACCCTCTCCCCCTCTTTCCTCCCCCTCCCCCTCTTTCCTCCCCCTCCCCTCTCCCCTTCTTCCCTGCACCTCTCAGCTCGGGCGTGGTGAACAACGACGACGGTAGCAGCTTCGTGAGCGACATTCGCACGAGCTCAGGCGCGTTTCTCAACAAGGGCGAGGACGCCGTCATGCGCACAGTGGAGCAGCGCATCTCCGAGTGGACCTTCCTCCCACTCCAGAACCAGGAGGCACTGCAGGTGAGCGTGGGCCCCTGTGATTCGTTATACTCGTTATAAGCTGCTGGTAGAGGCTCCTGTGCACGCCCCAGTGGACGTTCCTGCCCCTGCAGAACCAGGAGGCGCTGCAGGTGAGCCGCCCCTGTGACGAACTCAGGCGCGTTCCTGAACAAGGGCGAGAACGATGTGATGCCAACAGTGGAGCTGCGCATCTCCGAGTGGACCTTCCTCCCACTCCAGAACCAGGAGGCACTGCAGGTGAGGCACCTCTCACTCTTAATACTCGTTATAGGCTCCTGTGCATGCCCAGTGGACCTTCCTGCCGCTGCACAACCAGGAGGCGCTGCAGGTCAGTCCTTTGTCCCTATGACCCATGTTCCTCTGACCCCCATGCACAGCCCCTTGCTACCCATTCAGGTGCTGCCATACACCAAGGGACACAAGTATGAGCCGCACATGGACGATTTCCACAACACCGCGAACCGCCTCCTATTTCCCTCACCTCTTTCTCCCTCTATCCGCTCCCTCCGCTTTTCCCCTACCCCTCCCCCAGGTGCTGCGGTACACCAAGGGGCAGAAGTACGAGCCACACGTGGACTATTTCCACGACGCCGTGAACACGCAGAGGGGCGGCCACCGCTACGCCACCGTGCTCATGTACCTCAACAACGTGACGCTGGGCGGGGAGACTGTGTTTCCCAAGGTCAAGGATGACTCACCTAAGGACGAGACTTGGTCTGACTGCGCCAAGGGCTTTCTGGCTGGTGAGTGGTGGTTGGTGTGAGCGTGCAGCAGGGCCACCGCTACGCCACGGTGCTCATGTATCTCAACAACGTGACTCTGGGGGGCGAGACCGTGTTCCCCAAGGTCAAGGACGACTCGCCCAAGGATGAGACTTGGTCGGATTGTGCCAAGGGCTTTCTGGCTGGTGAGTGTTGGGGTGGTGGGGGGTCATGGGGCTAGATGGATTGATGGGGGTGGGGTGTGGAGGTGGTGGAGGTGGTGGGGGTGGTGGGGGTAGATGGGAACCTTGAGGGTGGTGGCACGGATGACAGAAGCGGGATTGAGTCTTGCTGAGCACACTGCGCCCTTGGTGTGACGCGCCCTTGGTGTGACCGTGAGGGAACCTGTAGGGCAGACGGGTCAGCGCATGCATTGAGCAATCCGCCCTTGCTCCCTCCTGTCCTTGCACGTATCTCTCCCCTCACGTCTTCGGCGCCCACCCCACCAGTGAAGCGAGAGAAGGGAGATGCGCTCCTCTTCTTCAACCTCCACACCACCGGCACCCCTGACAGCAGCCCCGACGGCACCCCTGACAGCAGCCCCGACGGCACCCCTGACAGCAGCCCCGACGGCACCCCTGACCCCGCCAGCCAGCCTGCATTACACCTGCCCCGTGCTGCATGACGTCATGTGGTCCTCCTTCCTCCCCCACTTACTCCCGCTATCTTTCTCCCTCCCTTGCCTTCTCTCTCTTCTCTCCCCCTCTCTCCCTCTCTCTCCTCCTCTCTTCCCCTTCCTCCCTCTCCCATCCCCTGCCCATCCCACCAGTGAAGCCAGAGAAGGGAGACGCGCTGCTCTTCTTCAACCTGCACCCAGACGGCACGCCAGACCCCGCCAGTCTCCATTACGCCTGCCCCGTGGTGCACGGCGTCAAGTGGTCCGCGCCCAAGTGGATCCACGTGGCAGACTTTGATAAGCCGCTCGCCAGTGCTGATGCTGGCGCCGGCGGCGCGGCTGCTGCTGGTGGGGGTGGGGGTGATGGCGCGTGCACGGACAGCAATGCATAGTAAGTAGGAGGGCTGTTGCGTTGACTCAAAAGTCAATTCATGGAGAATGAGGGGGCTGGTGCTGAAGAGTCTAGTGATGAAGGCGAGTGCAGAGGCGCCAAGGAATCGTAGTGGCATGGTGGGAGTGCCCATGGCATGGTGGGTGTGCCCATGGCATGGTGGGTGTGCCCATGGCATGGTGGGAGTGCCCATGGCATGGTGGGAGTGCCCATGGCATGGTGGGTGTGCCCATGGCATGGTGGGTGTGCCCATGGCATGGTGGGAGTGCCCATAGCATGGTGGGTGTGCCCATGGCATGGTGGGTGTGCCCACGACATGGTGGGTGTGCCCATGGCATGGTGGGAGTGCCCATGGCATGGTGGGAGTGCCCATGGCATGGTGGGTGTGCCCATGGCATGGTGGGAGTGCCCATGGCATGGTGGGAGTGCCCATGGCATGGTGGGAGTGCCCATGGCATGGTGGGTGTGCCCATGGCATGGTGGGAGTGCCCATGGCATGGTGGGAGTGCCCATGGCATGGTGGGTGTGCCCATGGCATGGTGGGAGTGCCCATGGCATGGTGGGAGTGCCCATGGCATGGTGGGAGTGCCCATGGCATGGTGGGTGTGCCCATGGCATGGTGGGTGTGCCCATGGCATGGTGGGAGTGCCCATGGCATGGTGGGTGTGCCCATGGCATGGTGGGTGTGCCCATGGCATGGTGGGAGTGCCCATGGCATGGTGGGAGTGCCCATGGCATGGTGGGAGTGCCCATGGCATGGTGGGAGTGCCCATGGCATGGTGGGTGTGCCCATGGCATGGTGGGAGTGCCCATGGCATGGTGGGAGTGCCCATGGCATGGTGGGAGTGCCCATGGCATGGTGGGTGTGCCCATGGCATGGTGGGTGTGCCCATGGCATGGTGGGTGTGCCCATGGCATGGTGGGAGTGCCCATGGCATGGTGGGAGTGCCCATGGCATGGTGGGTGTGCCCATGGCATGGTGGGAGCGCCCATGGCTTGGTGGGAGTGCCCATGGCATGGTGGGAGTGCCCATGGCATGGTGGGAGTGCCCATGGCATGGTGGGAGTGCCCATGGCATGGTGGGTGTGCCCATGGCATGGTGGGAGTGCCCATGGCATGGTGGGAGTGCCCATGGCATGGTGGGTGTGCCCATGGCATGGTGGGAGTGCCCATGGCATGGTGGGTGTGCCCATGGCATGGTGGGTGTGCCCATGGCATGGTGGGAGTGCCCATGGCATGGTGGGAGTGCCCATGGCATGGTGGGTGTGCCCATGGCATGGTGGGTGTGCCCACGGCATGGTGGGTGTGCCCATGGCATGGTGGGAGTGCCCATGGCATGGTGGGAGTGCCCATGGCATGGTGGGTGTGCCCATGGCATGGTGGGAGCGCCCATGGCTTGGTGGGAGCGCCCGTGGCATGGTGGGTGTGCCCATGGCATGGTGGGTGTGCCCATGGCATGGTGGGTGTGCCCATGGCATGGTGGGTGTGCCCGTGTGTTGGGAGCGAGTCAAATGGACCCATCTGGCCCACTTTGATCAGCAGTTGGGGACTGGTGATGCTGCTGATGCTGCCGCTGATGCTGATGCTGATGGTGCTGGTGGCGAGTGGGGGAATTGGCACGGACAGCAGTGCAAAGGAAGCGGCAAGGCTGCTACAAATTGGAAACTTCTATGGAGGATTTCTCATCATCCTACATGCCTTCCCTCCTGCATGTGCTGATGTCATCTCCACATATCCCTTTCCCCTGCATGTCTCACTCTAGTATCGCAGCTACCCCCCCTACCCCATGTATGCTCATTGCTCATGCCGCTCATTCCACCTCTCCCCTCCCCTTGTGTGTGTGTATGTGTACGTCTGTGCACGCATCACAGCTGCCAGTACTGGTCAGAGGCGGGCGAGTGTGAGAAGAACCCCGTGTACATGCACGAGGCGTGCCGCAAGGCCTGCAAGGTCTGCTCCTAGACAGCCGCCGCCTGTCTCTCCACTCTACACGCTGTCACGCGCACGCTCGTTCCTCTCAACATCCTTGCAGCAAGCATCTTCAGTGTTTTGCCATCAAGAATGGTGCTGGAACCTGCTATGCTATGGCTTATGGCAGAGTAAACCATTTTCCGCTCTTGACCCATGACTGGGGGTTTGCTATAGCCAACTGTGTTCAATGTTTCATTGTGTATGTACAGTTATTATGGATTGGATTGACAGTGATACACGGAACTTCCAGGCGCACTAGCAAATGACAGCTGGAGGCTGTTGGAAACAATTAACTCTAAGTGCCTCTGTCGTGTCGAAACCAGGCCTCGCGTTTTCAGAGTAAATTACTCTGTTTCTCTGAAAATCATAGTCATTTTTTAAAGTAACTCTGTACCCATTGGGTAATCTTTTTGGGACTTACGATGTCTCTGATTTGTCAGAGTTATGCTGTAGTCTACTCAGAGGCCTCTGGGTTTTTTTTTCGGGGACCGAATTTACTCTGTATACGGAATACCTGCCGGCCCCCCCTCCCCCGCCCCCCTCCCCTCCCCACCTCCCCCTGCGTTTAGCGGGTTTTCCCCGAATCGTCGAGATCATTCTCCTGATTTCTGTCGTGTGTTGGCGGCAATATGAGCACTGATTGGCTACCGTAGTTTGACAACTTTCCCAACCAGCGCACGATGCCAGCCAGTCCCCTCTCTCTTTACCATGTCTGAAGTGAACGTTGACGTTTCCCGACGAAACTTTGAGGGACGTCGAGGAATCCTGACGGTCGGAACGCTTAATCCGAGGGTTGAGATTCGCCAGCATTCCCCGACGAAACTGTACATCCGTCGACATTTCACTTCAGACACGCTCTTTGGGGGTGTCCGAAGTGAAACGTCGACATCCGTGGACATCCGTTTGGGGATGTCGGTAAATCCTGACGGTTGGAACTGTCGATCCGAGGGATGACATTTACCGACATCCAACGACATCTATTGACGTTTCACTTCGGACACGCCCTTAGTCAGATTATCGGTGACGCCAACACCTCACTCTGAAACATCGCAGTGAGGGGGGAAACGTGGGCGACGCGGAAATGCAAGTACAAAAGGCATAACAAAAACCTATTAAGGTCATGGTACACCAAACTTAACTAACATCAGAGTAGAGAAAAATATTACTCCGGCGTGCCTGGGTTTTTTTTTGAAAGTATAGGGTTACTCTGACAAATCAGAGTAAGGCGCAGGAACAACCTTAGATTTCAGAGTTGGGAAAAAAACTACTCTGGAAATCAGAGTACCTAAAATCCAAAAATAGGCCCTGGTCGAAACACCAAGTCAAAAGCGAAGCGAAGCATATCGAAGCACTGGCGAGTCAACCCTCGGAGGTTGAGCAGTTGCTGGAGGTTACGCGAAAGTCAAAGGTCAGCGACCTTTGACCTGACAAGTACAGCGCGACAGCAAGGACACACAACTGACTCGTTACAGAGCACTTGCCCGAGTCGTCACTGTATCGAACCGCAACAGCAACAGTAAAATAGTTATAACTGTACCTCTTCATATTGTTGTAGGGTAAACTCTGTGTAAAGTGATGTAGTAGCGGAAGCGTTTAATAAGAAGATTCTGAACCACCTTGCGCTGGTATGTGAGGGCAAAGTAAGTTGATTAAAGCATGCAAATACAAGGTTTTATATAAGAGTATGTCAGAATGAGAAACGAGAATGAGGAGTGACTAGCAGGAACAACAGTACAAATATGTCAAACCCTAATCTGGTGTACCCCTTATGGTGTGACCCACTACAGCCTAGAACCACACAAACATATAAATGTTTGACACACCCCCATAGGCAAAGTGGGGGAGACCTAGGGGTCACAAGACCAGTCAAGGCAAAACAAGGCAAACAAGCTCAGGGTGGATCTCGAGGATTCCACACAAATTCCGAGCACAAGCAAGCGGTCACAAGACCAGTTCACATGCAGTTTTATAATAGAGCAAGAGGTACAATGATCACAACCTAACAAGGCAAACATGCAGGTATATATATAATGATCACAGTACAGGTAAAGTCAAGAAGTAAGTAAGTGAGAAATAGTCGGCACAAGGCCTAGAAGAGTGCAAAAACGCTGATGGTCAACAGGCGGAAGCGACTTGGTGAACACATCAGCAGTGTTGGCCTCAGTGGCCACGTAACGCAGAAGAAGCTGACCACGCTGCTGTAGCTCTCGAGCTAGAAAGTAACGCAGAGCAATGTGCTTCGTCCTGTGCTCCAGTCTGTGCTCCTGGCACAAGGCAATGGTTGCCTTGTTGTCGACGTACAGCACTGGAGGAGAACGAGGCTGCTCTCCAAGGTCAGTCAGCAGGTAGGTGAGCCAGCGAAGCTCCTGGGCAGCCATGGCCGTGGCGTAGATCTCAGCCTCACAGCTGGAGCTGAGAACAGAAGAAGAACGAGTAGAACGCCAAGAGACAGAGCCAGAGCCAAGACTGAAGGTGTAACCCTGAGACGACCGCTGAGTAGCCTGGTCGTCTGCCCAAGAAGCGTCTGAGTGCCCAGTGAGAACAGGCCGGTCTCGCCCTCCAAGCACTAGCCCCATGCCCGACGTACTGCACAAGTAGCGCAACACCCTCTTAGCTGCATCCATGTGCTCCTTCCGGTGACGGCCGGGAGCAACATAGCGTGCTAAGATGCTGAGAGGGTATGCTAGGTCAGGTCGAGTGCAGGTCATCAGGTACATGAGGCAGCCCACAAGCTCTGGATACGGACCACTCGACTCTACGGACTCATCCGAAGGCAGAGCTGAGAGCGAGTGACCCGTAGGCAGAGGAGTGGACTGAGGCGAGGAGTACGTGAAGCCGAAGCGCTGAAGGACCTGCTGCACCATATGTGACAGAGTCAGGGTAATAGTGCGGCGTGCTCTGTCCCGGGTGATCCGCAAGCCAAGATAGCTTGTCAGTTCACCCAGGTCTGTGCACGTGTGTCTCTTCTGCAGCTCGGACTTCACGTGGGCGAGTGCGGCAGTGTCCGCAGTGGCAAAGACCAAGTCGTCGACGTACACGAGGATGTAGAACGTCGGCAGCGAGGTGTCGGTGCGTAGAAACAGCGACGGGTCAGCAGTAGAAGGAGCAAACCCAAGAGCCGCAAGTGTAGTCCTCAGTGTGTCGTGCCACTCACGCGGCGCCTGGCGGAGACCGTAGACTGGCCGCCGGAGGCTCCACTGGGTGCCAGGAGGGAAAGACCCAGTGAAGCCAGGTGGGCGGCGCAGCCAGATCTCCTCGTGCAGGCTGCCCTGCAAGAAAGCTGTGCTGAAGTCAAGAGAGTGGAGCTCGTAGTCACGCTGAGCGGCGACGTGTAGCAGAACCCGAAGAGTGGTCATCTTCGGGGTCGGGGAGAAGGTCTGGAAGAAGTCAACTCCCTCTCGCTGACTGAAGCCTCGTGCAACGTAACGCGCCTTGAAGACAGGCGGAGAGCCTGGCGGCCGCTTCACCCTGAAAATCCACATGCCACTGACGATGTTCGCCCCAGGTGGGGGAACGTCGTCGACGTAGGTGCCTGTGGACTTCCAGGAAGCCATCTGTGTGTCCATGGCTGACTGCCACTGAGAGGAGTAGGGACCGGCCATCGCCTCTGCGTAAGAGCGTGGGGTCGGGATGTCTGGTGCATCCGGGTCTCCCTCAGGGGCAACAAGCATGGACACGAGATGGGGCAAAGCAGCGGCAAGGCAACCAAACTCCTCCTGCCTGTCCTCAAGGACGTCCGTGCCAAGAGCACACTCACCCCCGACGGACGGAGGACAGGCAGACTCAGACTCAGCAACAAGACTCGCTGCGTAGTCTAGACGACACGCAGCTGCAAAGTCGACAAGCTCAGTGACTAGGGCAGACGCAGCAGCGGACTCAAAGGAAGGGTCAGTGACAACCGTAGCCAGGAGACGTGTGACAGTAGGACTGGCAGCGCGAAGGGAGTCTGACTCCGGGTCAGCAAGAGCATGAAGAGAGGACGCAGGAGGCGACGGGAGAGCAACACGCTGCGGAGCAGTGGACTGACGAAGCGCCATCCGGTGCGTGCCTGGGACAGCAGGAGGACGCTAACGCGGGACACGACTACCAGTGGTAGCAGCTCGAACAGGCAACGCTCGACGAGACGCAGGTGACACAGGACGTGACGCAGGCTCACGTCTCTCAGCAAGACCGTCTGTCGGACCAGTGTAAGGAGCAGGCACAGGGAGTGGGGAGGCAGGCGGTAACTGTGGCTGTGACTGGACAGACGGCGGACACTCTAAGGGGAGAGGAGAACAAGGAGGAGGAGGCTGACCAAGAACCTGCTGAAGGAGCGGAACGAAGTACGGTCGTGGCCGTGCAGCACCTCTCGAACCAGCAGAGACACCAGCGGCAGCAGCAGCACCTCCAGAAGCAGCAGCACCTCCAGCACCAGGGTCCGCAGCACCTCCAGCAGCACCGCCAGCAGCAGCAGTACCTCCAGCAGCACCGCCAGCAGCAGCTGGACCTCCAGCACCAGGGTCCGTAGCACCCACAGCAGCTCCAACGCCCGGGTCCTCAGTACTAGCAGCACCTCCAGCAGCACCGCCAGCACCAGCAGCACCTCCAGCAGCACCGCCAGCAGCAGCAGCACCTCCAGCACCAGGGTCCGTAGTACTCGCAGCAGCGTCAACTCCGGGGACCCCAGCACCAGCAGCTCCACTACGGAGACTGATGTGCTGAGCGTACCACTCTCGAAGCTGAGGGGAAGAGGGCGGCTCCCGCCGTGGTGGGGAAGCACGAGTACCAACTCCAGCAGTACCACGAGCCCGAGACTCACCCCGCCGGAGGCTGCAGTACCGTGAGTACCACTCACGCAGCTGCTGCGAAGAGGGAGGTCCTCCAGGCGCCTCACAGTCAACTGCAACACCACCAGGCTCAGCACCCCCAGGCTCAGCAACTCCAGGCGCAGTACCCCTAGACTCAGCAACGCCAGGCTCAGTACCCCCAAACCCAGCACCCCCAGGCTCAGC